AATAAATAAATGCCTTATGTTCATCCTTTTCAACTCCAATTCCTTTTTCATAACAATATCCAACATTAAATGTTCCACTAACGTTTCCCATATCTGCAGATTTTTGATAGTAAAGGAATGCCTTATGTTCATCCTTTTTAACACCACCAACTCCATGTTGATAGTTGTATCCAAGATCATTTGCTTTAGTTGTTTTTTTTTAATTTGGTTGATTTTTTACTCCCTTTTCCACATTTATTTTTGAATATAAAAATATATAATCACAAAAATTAAAATCATATAAACATACACGGAAATAAAATCAAACACTGTATCGCTTATAATTTTGTAGGCTTTACTTATTTGTGCCGGTAATACAAACTCCTAAAAAGGAAACAGACAATTAGTGCGACATGACGTGCGAAAAAGAAAAGAGCGAAAAATACCCAACAACCAGTGTTTATTCAAAATGTCAGGGACGAAATTTTACATATAGTGGGCAACAGTTTATGGCCATGGCTCGTCCTAACCCTATATTTGTGTTTTTATTTACAAAATTAAAATTCCTTTTTTGGGTTATATTACCGGCACAATCCTTGGTCACCACGTTGGGTACGTACGTACGTACGTACGTACCGTACAGAGCTGCATATCATGATACAGTACCCTAGGAGAAATTTCCCCTTTAAATAATATCAGGATACTATTCAATTGTAGATTTTAACTTTTTTGAAAAGTATTAATTTATTACGTTCATGATCCAACCAATGATCATGTTATACAATAACTCATCTCTTTTTAGTATACCTTCCTTGTATAGTATCCCTCTTCACACAGTACCCCAGGGTATTATTTAATTAATCTTAGATTTCTTGTAAAAGACCGAGGGTCTATATGCAGCGCTGTACGTAAATAGAATAAAGCCAAAACAAGGAACTAATCGGTAGATGCGTGATCACATGGTTACATGGCTTTTATGATTGTAACAACGGCACAATATATTAAGCGCTAATAAATAAATGAATTTCAGAATTGTACATTCATATGTTTAAAAAGGAAGCATTTACGTTTGAAATCGACGGAAAGAAATTTATCAGGTGGTTTAAGCCGAACATAAAGCTTGAAGATGTAAGGAAAAAATTGGCAGAAGGACGAGATGACTGGGAAGCTGAAAAACTTTTATTTAAACAAAATGACATACAAATCTACCATAAAGACGAAATTCATTATAAATTAGAGAAGATCCAAGTTCCTGAATCTGATAAATATATAATCTATGTTGAAAATTTATTGAAAAAGGTCAAAGCTCACATTGACGATAGAATATTTACTTTCTCATTGGACCCTGGAGATAAACTTGAAAAAATTCGAATAATACTTTTAGGCAAGTTTGTAAAAATATTTAACAATGAAGTTATCGATTTCAAGTTTAGATGGAAAGATGGAAGAATTGTTGATAAATTTGAAGAGACATTAAATAATTTGGAGGAAATTTTGGTAAACGGTAATGAGTTATATGTTTCTACATTACAAGAAAGTGAAATAACTATCTATAGTAGCCATACTGGTGCCGTTAAGTCTTTTATATTTACTTTACATAAAGGAAAAAAACTTACTGAAATCAGAAAGGAACTTGAAGACACCTGGAAAGAGCATCGTCATCATTATATGTGCCCGGACTGTTGTTTTCTAAATCGTGAAAAAGCACGAATTCCTAAATCCAAAGAAGATAAATTAACTTTAGGTGAAATATTATTAATTCAAAATGGTCAAAATGTCTTAAATATTCATCGAGAACATGATAGCAATGATTATGATCTAGTGAAACTAATAAATAAATGTGGATATGGATTTATTACAAAGAATGTCTCGGTAGAGCAAGCTGAATATCGTGCATTTACAATAACAGAAACACCAGATCAACACGTTTTTGAAAACAAATATGAAGAGGACACGTTAAAATGCAAAACCGAATTTCATGAATTATGTGAACGAAACTTTATCACATTTGGAAACACTACTTCTATTCTGCCGTGGGTTTCTGTTTTTTTTGGAGTCAATAGGGAAGTCTCACTCAAAAAATTAGAAAATTATCAAAAAGCTATAGAATATTCATATGCTAGGGTGAGACGAGTGTGTATAAACATTTCGAAGAATAATACTAAAGAGTTTAACGATGATGTTGAAAAAGCCTTAGAGGAAAAGGCTCAAGATAAGAAAGTGGAAAATCTTAAACAAATCGCAGAGAAATACGGCTATTTCTATGCAAGCTCAGTATACTTTGGTGGTGTTATTGTTGAAAAAAGGAAGAATCGAAATATTCGAGTAAGCATGTTAATCATTATCGTTAATTAATGGTATTAAATTTTTTCTACAAGTTATTAATGTTTTTTATTTACAATTTAAGATGAACACTCAAAAACCAATGAATTAGATATGACGGTCGAAATTGGTTTGCAAATGGTTAAAGCAGATGCAAGTTCTACTTCAAAAACGGGTCAAAACAGTAAAACAGAGACGAGTAACACAGAATGTTATCGTATGATAAAGGGGGGAGATATTTCAAAATCTGATCGTTGCGACTGGATTAATTCACTTAACGATCCTGAGAAATGGGATATAATTGAGTATCATCATATTAATTCAATTTTTAGTTTACTGAAAAATGATTTGCAAATAAGAGTATTGGAAGCCTTGGGAAAAAGAATTTTAAGAGGTAATTATACATTATTTCTGACTGAATAGACTCAATTGATAAATATTATTTGTTGCTAATATATTTTTGAACAAATAAGAGAAAGTTGATGAAATTATATATCCAACAGAAGAAGAGCGATATATTCATAAATTAGCAGGAGAATTAAATGATATTCCTAATATTAATGAATGCCAAATATTCACCACGATCATAAAAGAAAGAAAAGATAGGCATATATTTTCTTAGATAAACCGATAATTATTATTAATCGTGCTCCAAGTAGGAAAAAACCCAAAAGAAAATTTATATCTATCCGCATCGGATGGATAGTTGTAGGGTATCCAACAGACACTTTTGACTTCGACCTATCAAATCATGTTGTAATTGAAAGCAGAAAATGTGAATTGAACCAGGACAATGTAAAGGACTATGATTTTCCACATCTTACTAATTTACAATATATAAGTAAACATGCATTGGTTACATGCGTCTTAGATAAAATGGAAACAATATTGCAAGAAAATTCGAGTGTTTCGGCAAATTCACCATCAATAAGTGATACAATTCAGCTAAACCCGCGTGAATTAAAATTAGTAGTTGGATCATATTTTTCTCGTTCATTGGACTCTGCACGTTTTTTTGCTTATTGTTCTGAAAACCGTAAAAAACAAATGACTCAAGAAGAAAATCCATTTTTACAACAATTTAAATTGTTTATTTGGTAGTTATCGAAAATTTTAGTCTTGTGTTTTTTAGCATTTGATATAATCTAATCAATATCTTTTATTTAAAGTGTTATTTATGTAAAGCAAGAATTTTATAACCAATATTTTTATAAAAATAAAGTTAAATGGACACGTATGGGAATAGGGTATTCGTCAAGAACTTTATTATCGGAAGCAAATCAAATTAATACCGGTGAAAGACCCATATTTATAAATAATCTCTTTGACGATGATAATTGTCATGGAATAATCAATATTGCACCTAATTATTTACAGTATAGAATATTGAATAAACATTCATTTGCTGAAAACAAGATGGAAATTTCTTATTTTCGTAATTTCACCGAAAACAATAAGGTAAATACGTTGTAAAATGATTTTATTATAAAATACAAAAAAGGAAATTTTGTAATTTACACTATTCTACTTGGCGAATCGAGAAGAATCGAATGGCATTATAAGACAATTTAATTTGTTAATTTTTTGTGTAATTTATTTATGTTTTCATATCATTAAATTTTACTATAAAGATTGCTTAATCTCAAATAAACATATGTTTGCCTCTAAGTCAATATTTTTTACTTTTAGATTATATATACATTTACGAGATAAATAATTCCCTCCATATTTCATCAATTGGGATTTTTATTGGTTTGAATGTTGCTTTCAATACTTTAGTTTTTAAAAAAGATTTACCACAACTGCTGCACCATCGGACTAGTAATATCTTTTAAATTTATTTTAGAATAGATTTCGAATTAAAGTTTGTTGTCTTGTCAAAATATAAATCAATATTTTTGTTCATCCATATATTTTAAAAACTATAATCTTAATTCCTCATTGATAATAATTGCTGTAAAGCATAAATCTTTAAGCACCATATTAAATTCGCTAATTACTTTTCATCGACTTTGCAGTCCAAAATTAAGATATGTTAATTTTATTGGTAGCTGCTACAAAACGTTCGTAATTTTTTTGATATTCAGGATTCAATGTTTATATTTTTGTCGATGTCTCACTAATATGTTAATAAAATTTCAACAATCCACCAAACCATTACAAATATAATTATATTTTACAGTTTCAACGTATGATCATTATTTTGCCAGTTGTCCAGAGGACTCGCAGGAGCGACCGTCAAGGTTACACGTAGATCGCTTCTGAAATTCTCCAACCAATCAAAAATTAGAATCACGTGCCAATGAGCCAATCAAAATTGCGAATTTTATGAATAATATTAGTATGAGATTTTGATTAAATTTATTAAAATTTATTCATGGGATCGTACTGGTATTATTTTTGGAGGTTTGGGATTTGTCCAATTTTGCCAGCAAGTATACGTCAGGGTTTTGATGTTCCATCAGGGTTTCGTTTTTCATCTATTTTGTGTTTAGGTTTCGTCATTTGCTATTTCTGAAAATAGGCTTCGCCTACTATCTATAGTGACAGCGTAGAATGTTATGCTTCATATATTACATATAAGTTTTTTGAGAAAAGGAAATCTATCTTCAAATGTATTATCGGCAGTGTTGGAAATCAAATGTTCTCAACGTTCTCAAGAACATTAAAACTATTTACGAGAACATAATATTTAAAAATTATGTTCTCATTATGAGAACATAAAATTTTTTAATTTTTAATATAATTAATAGTATTTTGAAAACATAATATTTTTTTGAATATAGCAAATTTTATTAATAAGAACATTAATTCTAAAATTTATGTTCTCAAAACAAAAAAAAATTTTCAGATTTCCTTCACTGATTATCGGTATTAAAACTTCATTTAAAGAATTATTTTATCGAAAGCATTTTTCTTTATTAGTTATAAAGCTTTCATTAAAAGGATCATTTCCTTCGAAAAAATTTTCTTAACCAATGGTGTAGATTCTTCATCAGAATTACAGCTGTTTTCAAAAAGGTGTGAACAACGATTTCCACATATCTATGTGGGGAATCAAAGAATTTTTTTTATTTTTTTATTTTTATTTTTTTTAAAAAGCGAGGCCGTGCTTCTGTTCCTTTATTAGAATTCATATGATATTACAAATGTTATTACAATACTTTATGTTTTCTAATCTATATGGAATTAAAGTCTAAAGCTACTTTACTTTTGATCTAAGCTTTTTCTAAGATAGGTCAACAACCTCATTAGTCTATGTATGGGATATTGAATGGGAAGGTGTTTGCTGTTATAAAATCATTGAGCCAGTAGTTATATTTATATATTTTATGATAGACTGGGTATTTGGATTGATGTTTGTTTATGATTGGAGTTGAGAACTGAAGGCTTTGGGTTGATTAGTTTGAGAGTTTCATGTATCTTGCTTTTCAAGTCTTTTTTTGGATCTCCTTAACAATATGGTGAAGAAAGTAGCAGGTGGGATTTTTTGCTGTCTTGATGTCTGCTTGAGGATTTTTGTTAATAATGATATCATTAGTAATAATTCTGAGAGGTGCCGGTTGCGGCTTGTATATAAACTTTTGTAGAAAGTTTTGTCTAAAGTTAGTAGCATTTATATCTATTTGATATTTTTGTATTGTTCGGTTAAGAACTTGTGTAACTATTTTTTTAATAGAGTGTATGTTGATTATGCATGTAAGTCAGTGTTAGTTATCTTCATTTGTTTGTATATATCTGTGACATATGGGATTGTTGTATTTTGCTGGATGTCAAATATGTAAATTGAGAAGTGTTGGGAGTTCGTCCATTAATTTTAGTTTGAAGGTTTTGATTTTGGTTTGAGTAGGATGTGTATGTCAGCTTAGAAGGCTGTTGTAGTAGTTTATGAAGTTGAAGGTGAGTTTCCAGTTGATCTCTTTTGGGTCTAGATTCCATAGATGTATTCTATTTAGATTGTGTCAGTCTATTATATTTTTTTGCATTTTGTAGATGCCTTAATAGTTTTCTCAGGTTATGAGAGAATGCGTGGTAGTTTAGTTTGGGAGTATAGGTGCTGTGCAGTATCAGCTTTGTGTTGATTTCAGTAGCAATAGTTGCACTTGTAATGCTTGGTTTGATTGTGGTGTTTGTAGTTGTAATTTGTACTTTTAGGTCTTGTCTCGTAATTGTTACTTTTATAATTGCTTTATAAATTTCAAAAGTTGTAGATAGCAATTGGTTGATGAGATATGTAGGGCAGTAGTAGAGATCTGATGTTCTCAGTGTTCTCAAGAACATTAAATATATTTTGAGAACATTAAAATTAAAAATTATGTTCTCTTTTTGAGAACATTTGAGAACATGAAATTTGTAAATTTAATTATAAAAAATTTTTTAAGAACATTAAAAAATTTTTTTGAGAATATTAAAAAATTTTTTGAAAACCAAAATTTATAATTTATGTTCTCAAAAAACACAAAAATTTTTTCAGATCTTTAACACTAATGTGGGGGTTTGAACTATGTTTGTAAAGTCATAAGCTAGTTGTTTTTCATATGTAGAAATGTTTAGTATACATGCATATGGTATTGTAGTAAGTAGAGTTAGTAGTACTGTCAGCAGAGCTTTTCTTTTAGATGACCATGTTAGATTTGAGATTTGCAGATCAAGAGGTGTGTTGGCTATTGTCTAGCAGGCTATGAGGTTATATGTTGGGTTCACACCATTAGGTTGTATATTTATATTAGCATTCAATGCTTTTTTTTCGTAAAGAGATCTGTATATTTTCTATAATTTTTGTTGTAGGTTGGGTGTAGTGTCCATTAAGTTTTTTGAGATCTGGTCTTTATATCTAGTAAAGGTGTAGTTTTTGTAGTTGTTTTGTAGTATTATAGTAGGGTTGTGTAGAAGTTGTATTTAGATCCTTGATGTTTGTATGTATATATTTTTTTTCTACTTGTATATATATTAGATTTTGTACAGAATCTGAGAGGTAGCAGCATTGTTGATTTGGAGAGCTAAGTCTGCATCCTATACACT